ATTGCGGGTTTCCACGGGGGCCTTGGGAAGTTCATGTCTTAGCACATCTCCCTTAAGAGATGGCATATTATATCTAGAATGTTAAGCTTGTCATTTTATTTTTCTTCCATGATTCAGCATATGAGGGGGTAGATTCTCGGCAGAGGCTTTGCAGCTTTGGCTATTTTTGGCTGCATCTTTGTGTATTGGTTTTAGCAATGTTATGTATTGTGAACATAATTGTTTGGTTACTGGAGTTTCATTACCATTTCTGAAGAAAGAATGAATTGAGAGTTCTTTCCCCTTTGCCAACGGAGCAATCACTCATTACTATTACCATATATATAAAATATATATGTATAAATACTTGCCATTAATTTGATATTTTGTTGGCAATGAGAATTTTTTACGCAGTATCAAAATTGACTTGCTTTTTCTACTTATGTTTCCATTTGTGTAAGGTTAAGGATAAATTGCCAATGCATATCTCTTTTCAATTACCAAATCTTTAACATTTCCTTTCACATGCAGAAGCCTAATCCATACTTGCCAAAAGAAGAATCATCTTCTTCCTTGTGGAAACGGTGATCCACGGCATGCTATTAATGATGATTACTAGGATTCAGGTTTAAGGTCTACCAAACCAACCATTTGGTAAGATGCATTCATGGACTTACCATTGCCATTGTAGAACCGACCAGAGTGTTTTTTGAAAATGTTCTTCCTTATATACATATAAATCATATGTTGCTACAGAGTTGTTAGGTTTGAGGTCTACGAAACTAATTATTTGGAAGGATGCATTGCGGCAAACGTCCACGAATGCATCCTTCCAAAGAATTGGTTTCGATGATAAGTATTATCAATATCATAAGTGATGGGTGTGCTTGAGCAAGAATCCTGTTATAAACAAAGTTACAGGTTTCGATAAGCCTAAATGAGCTGTAAAAACCATTGAGGTTATTCCTAAACTCTACATGTTGCTATTTCACTTTTTTTTCTCTCTTTTAAATATATTTTTTTGCTAAGATAATGTATGAGAACTTATTGCAGAGTTATGACACCAGTGAAGTGATCGACTGTATTGACATCTTCAAGTTAATGTGTGGAATCCAACATATGTGTCCAGAATTAAGTCTCTCAAATTTGGCCCATCAACGCCCCACCCCCCAGGAATTTTACACTATGGAGGCCGGATAAAAAGTAAGAACTTCGAATGATCTAATCCGAATATTTTAGCATGATTTGCATTCTAAGTTTTTCCTATAGGTTGGTACAGGTACCACTACCAGCAATGAGGCAAGAATTTCATATATTGGTTCGCGAGTTCTTAACTCTTTTAAGCTCTTACAATTTACCAAACTTTCACAAACATATCAAACATTGGTGTGCTTTTCTTGGGTGGACTTTAGAGTGATGGCTATCAAAACACTAGCTGATACGGTCTCGAATGCCCTGGATTCGTACAAACAGATAACAAGATTGATTGCGGTGCTTTGATTCTGCCAGTTTCCATATATGGTGGATAGCAGTATAACATAACTATAGACATAAGGAAGGCAATGGAACAATCTATTAGGTAAATATATATGGGATATTTTCGAGTCTTCTGTCTTTTAACAAAAATATTTCAGAATGTTCTTGGACATTGGTGGCTGCGTATTGGGGATATGGATGAAGGATACCTGCCCGGAGAAATCTTCACTACTCTAGATGGCTGCGCCTGATGTAATTAGTTTGGGCGGGGAGACAATTCATAGAGAAATGGATGGTCATCATACGTCAACTCAAATGGGGAGCAGTCATTTTCCCTGTGAAGGGTTTGAAAAGGCGCCCTTTTTCCGAAATCTTAAATTCGTCGACAACGGATTCATTGAGAGAGACCCGGAGAATCTTAAGACGTATGAATGCTACGACTTACTACTCAACATGGACCCGCGCAGTATAGTTGGTGTCGATTTCTATTATGAGGCTCCGAATTTTCAGCTCAATATATGAAATAGTGAACATATGTAACATGCCTTTTTTTTTGTTTGCTAATAAAAATGGCTCTGTCTAATGTTTGGTAGTGAGTACACCAGTGCTTTTGAAGGAAGTACTGCTAGGTGGTTTTATGTAATTAATGTTGTTAAGGTCATTTATGAACTGGTGACCATTTTGAAAAGAGCGTACTTTACCATAATTGCACTCTTTGATTACAGCTCCTTGTTTTGCCTTAAGAAGAAGTGTTCACTATGGACAAGGTGTAGTCTATACTTAAGTGTTACATTTACTACAGCTAATTAACTATTAGATGTAAAATTGATTAAAAGGCTAAAAAAATATGATAAGATATGGCGATACTCTTGTATGGAAGTTAAGCTAACTTCATTTGTTGAAGGAAATTAAGGAATATTCTAGCGGGGCTCGGGAAACCTTTGGAGATTGGCCCGGTTTTCTCGGATCGTACACGGTTTTTTATTCATGGGAATTTCCGAAACTGTGACATATGTGCAGAAAAGCATTAATGATTACGATCTTTATTTCAATAGCAAATCCTTTTTATATGTTTATGTGCAAAAATGTAATTCTTTTCTACTTCTGTCCACGCCACGTGTTTAAATGATTTGACTCGATGCAGCTCAGACTTTCTATTAAATGGCAGTGTAGCTCGTTATAACATTTGGACTTTTTGTTGGAATGAATTTATATGGTCATCTTACAGAAAAAAGATAAATATATGACCTAGAACCAAATAGGAATATGACCTCTAATGTGTTTTAGAAGAATTCGTTAACATGATCACTGATGCCGTCGTGTGTTGTTTTGTGCTTTTACAAGGCAAAGATGATTTGTTTTTTTGGCTTCTGCTAAAATTAAATATATTATCTAAATCAGAAGTATACTATGAAATTTTCGGGTGCATTAAAGTAAAGAATCAAGGTGTATAATCCATAAAACCCAGGTTAAGCATAAAATAAAAAATAAAAGCTAATCTTCGTCTTTTTTATTTTTTCCAAACAAAAAGTTTCGGACTTGTAATAAGTTTGGACTTGCCGCCTTATGAATAAAGTCTTCTTCAAATCACGAGATTCGATTCTTATTTATTTTATCGGCCGAGTTTATCGTATAACAAGTGCCTCAGAAAGTACGCGAAACTTTTAAAGATACGAAGAGTGTGTATGTTGCACGGAAAACTCAACATTTGTACAACATTTTTCAAAAATGATCGGTTATATCGCTAAGGAAAATTAATCTAATGGAAAATATGTACATTATCGGAAAAAAAATGAATACCTAACTATTTTCGTGAAAATATCTTTTATTTATTCATTTTTATAAAACAATGGAAATTATTTTTTGAATCTTGAGTTTTTCGTAAAACAATACACCCGAAGTGTCTTTCACTCAAAATAACCTAAAAAGACGCTACTGGTATTTATCCATTACGCGTAGATTCACATGGAATGGTACAAATTAATCAAGTCCAATGTCCGAAAATGTAAAAAAAATAAAAAATATATATGAATAAATAAATAAATAAAAAAGAAAGAAAGTCGAGGCATGCAGAGAAGGAGGAATTATTACAAAGTGCCGGGGGGGGGGGGGGGGTGGTGGGGCCCGCCTCTTGCCCACGACACGTGGCTTCCTCACTCACCCACCACCACTCACTCAGCGGGAGGCGTGAACAGATCTCATCCCGTCCCAGTGCGCGAGGCGTGCGCTCCAGTACGGCGCGAGCGCAGTGCTCCCTCGGCCGACGGGGTTGCGCCACGTGTCGCCGCCGACCCACTGGGCCCCGGCCAATCCGGAGCTCGCGATCCTTTCCCCCTTCCCCCCGCTCGTCCCTGGTCCGTCCGATCGGGATACTCCGACGGCTGCGATGAGACGTGTCGGGGATCCTTCGACGGCCCCGATCCCCGTCCAGGAATTCGCGGGGAAAATGATCCCTTTTGCTTCAAGTGGGGCGCGCTTTGCTTTGTTGGCACGCAAGCTTTTCTTCCCCCCGCTCCTGGCTCGGCGGCTCCCCCCCGGCGTGCGGCTCGATCGCCATTTCAGCGGCGACTGAGCTTCAGGAACCGTCGGCTCGGCTCGGGCCGAGCCGAGCCGAGCCACAAAGCCGATGGTCCGGCCGTCGTCGGTGATTATTGATGCGACCCAGACTTTCCTAAAGTGAGACGAGTGATCGAGTGCGCTAAGGAAAAGGTTATACGACCGTTTTGGTCCAAATTAGCTGCTAAACCACGAAATAATTATATGGCTTGGAGTCGAATTAGGTAGAAATTTCATGCGCGGCCCCGTTTTTCACGACTATCGCGACGTCGAGTCATTTGTGTTTGCGACATTTCTTTCACGTACTTTCAATGCAATTTCATCTACGATTCAATAAAAAAGATTAATTAGAGGATATCGTTTCATCCACTCCTGCGGGACCGTGAAAATCTCTTCAAATAAGCACTTAAAAACCAGCGCCCACCTCATGAGCCAACTTTTTCCTTTATCATCGGACGACGCGTGGCTGTCGAATGAGATTAGAAAATCAACGGTCTTAAAAAAGAGTCCACATTTAAAATAGTGTGGTCCAGATTAACGAGCCGGGGCAGATGCCCTAGCACATTAAAATAAGATGTTCGAGGCCAAAAAAATATTTGAGACGTGATGATAGATGAAGGGCTTGATCGAAACACAGGCCATCATCATTCGAAGTTTTGACATTTCTTCCCCGGGAATAATTGCGGAGCCTCAGTGCGCAAGCGAACAAAAGCCCCGTTTTGTGCCATTCTTGGAGGATCTAAAGCTTTAAAGCCGCAAGAGAATCATTTCCCACCCCCTAAACCGTTTTTGTTCTTCGATCAAATATTACTTTAAGGTCGGCTTTGCTTTCTTGATTAGCGCATGTGTGTCGCTGTCCAGATCGATGCAGAAAGCCCTCGCTTTTCGCCATCTTTCAAGAATATAATAAGTTCCATCGTTCTCTCTCAGAGAGAGAGAGAGACGCTTCTATTTCAAGGCACTGACTTGTGTCTCTCACGCGGAAATGGGAGCTTGATCGTCCTCTCTGTCTCTCTCTCTCTCTCTCTCTCTGACCAAGACTTCTCAGAAGGGCTTCTCTTGTCGCCTGCAACGTCTGTCTGTGTCCAGAAACCAGTAGCTTCTTCGTATCTCGCTGTTTTCTTCTTCTTCTTCTTCTTCTTCCTCTTCTTCTTCCTTTTTGGAGTTTTTGTGGAGTTCTTGAATCGTCTTGCTTGGGATCAGGGTGCTGACTGCTGGGTACTTGGTAGTGCTTTCGGTGGGTTTGAGGATTTCCGCGGTTTTGATTATCGGGGGGAGGTTTGGATCTTGATTTTCTTGCTGATATTTTTGTGGTGTTTTCTTCCTGATGAGAGTCCGTATGTGAATCCGCTGTCTGAACGAGGAAAAAAGATCTGTCTTCCTCTTGTCCCCTTGCCAACTTCTGCCTTTACACTTTCGAGGCTTCACACCGCGACTTGAAAAAAGAAGCTCACGACCTTCTTCACGGATCCCCCAAAACCCTATCTCAAATTCTGTGCACTCCAATCCCAATATCTTCCCCTCTTCAGCTTGAACCTAACCGGGCCAAGATTCAGTTTCGCGCATGCCCTTTGAGCTCTAGCTCACAGATTCGCTCTCAAAATCGAGTCTTTTTGGCCTCAGAACCACGGATTTCGACCCTTTTCGGTGCCCAGAACTCTGAGAACTTGAACTTGTTTTCTTTTGGTAAGTCTCGCTCGGAAAGGAGGTGAGAAGATGCAGCCAGACCCGTCATCACTGTTCCAACCCACGACGAGGCCTCAATTCCCAGAGCAAGAGCAGCTGAAATGCCCTCGCTGCGATTCCACCAACACCAAGTTCTGCTACTACAACAACTACAACCTCTCGCAGCCGCGCCACTTCTGCAAGGGCTGCCGTCGCTACTGGACCAAAGGCGGCGCCCTCCGCAACATCCCCGTGGGCGGCGGCACCCGGAAGGCCACCAAACGGGCCTCCTCCAAGTCCAAGCGTCACAATGCGGGGTCCGGTTCGGATGCGGGCGCGGATCACCCGCAGGCCCCTGGGTCGAGCCAGTCCCAGAATCTGACTGCCGAAGAAGCGTCGCAATCTCCGCCGAGCTTTGTCGGGCCGGCACTGGATCTGGATCCGGCCAGGATTTACGGCATGCCGGCCGACCTGGAAAGGAGGATGCTTGATGTGTCCGGAACCTTCAGCTCGCTCCTGGGGACGAGTGGGCAATTCATGAGCATCTTGGAGGGTCCCAATCTAAACGCCCCGGGAGCGAGCATGGTGCCGTTCGGTGGGCTCGGGGACGAAGAGAAACCGGGCAATGTCCACGCCCCGGGGCCGGCTCGCGATCCGGGCGCCACAGATGGTCCCGACAATTTCATGGACATCCAGAACGGGGATTCGGGTTGCTGGACCGGAGGGAGCGGATGGCCCGATCTCGCGATCTATACCCCCGGCTCAAGTTTTCACCGATAGAGAGAGATAGGGAGATTACTAAATTTGGTCGATTCTCTATTCCTTTTGCTTTCCCTCTTCCCCTCATTTATCTTCATGGTGACGATTTTCCTGGCATCGGAATGTAGATGAGAAAACGGAAGGCACATTACACACCTCAGTATATACCACTAAAACATATATCCATAGGTATGCTTGGTCTTGGTTTCTGTCTTAGCCACTTTTGTGCTGGATCTATGTTGTCCAAAACTCACTCATGTGTAACTAAATTACAAACTATAGTAGGCTTGTGCTGTAGGGTGTGTCTTGCACTTGTTAGTGTTGACTTTTTACCGGGGAGAGAGTGCTGTGAATCCATTGCAAGAGAGGAATGCAGCATTTGGCATTGCTTCTGTGCTTGCTCTTCAGAAGTTCATGAATCATTTTGTAATGTGGGTGATGATGATTTGAGATGATGAGGCATGTTCTGACTGAGATGATGAGAGCGGGTGAAGAGATATGGTGGGGTGGCAACAAGAGTCTTGGTTCTAGTTGAATGGATTTGCGGTTTTGTCTTGTAAAGCGTGGACAAAAGCTAGTCGTGATCTCACTGGATATTATTTTATTACCCGGAAGTTTCTATCTTTGTCGCCTCTTTTTTCCTGTAAAGTAATGGCCGAATCGTCCACTCCCTTTCAACTTCCAAAAGAAGTCAAAGTGCAATTTGTTTTTTAGTGCTGGAAGAAGAAGGTGCTATGGGATCGCTCTTCTTCTCGTTAGATATATGATGATACTTCTTCTGTGCTTCGACGATATAGATGATTGGCTTGTATGAAATTCCTCCTGAAGAAATGTGGGAGGGACAGGGATCGAATGACAAGCTTCCCGGAGCTGCGATGAGTAGTAATAAGATATTCGACAAACTCCGTACTTGTTTCGGGTAATGCCTAATCGGGAGGCCCGTGCGGGCTCGGGTGAGCCAAGATAGCAAGCCGGGGCTAGAGAGGGAATTGCCTACTTAAGTTCGTCTATTTCGCCTTCCGGCCCGTTTGGTAATCTATTGATGTGGTAACGTGTTGAAACTTTTTAGAAGCTGTCCATTGAGTTTCGAGTTGTCGAGGTTTACTTACGAGAGTGGTGCAAAATGAGTTGAGCATGCCTGGCGAAGAGGGTTACTAAATCCGGTTTATTTACCAGGCAGGAAGGCCTGACTTTCTTCTTTTTGGCATGATTGCTTTCTATCTTATTTCAAAAAGTAGATTGGCAATCTTCATTCCGCTCCCGTCTTTCCTTTAATTTTGTCGGAACAAGTTTGAATGTTGGCAGTCTCTTTTCTACTTACCTGTCTTTACTCCTCAACATCATTTAATTCAGATGGTTGAATTTCGAGACGTGCTTCAAATTAATCATAGGCTTTGTTAAGATAGGTAAACAAACAGCACTCCCCTTTTGGAGAATCGTATATGAGAATTTCATCTCGTGCAGCTCAAACACAAAACCCTAAATATTGCTTTGGTTACAAGGGATATAAGAAAGCTTCATCAAGTCTGTGATAGCGATAGCTATAGTGAATGAACCTGATTTTTCATCCCCATGGAAGAGCCACCCATCTTGGCCTCTTCAAAAAAGGAAGTGATCTTTGCTGCGAGAGTTACTTTGAATGGAAACCCTAATGAAATCCCAATGAGACAATACAATCCTTCTCAATTTCAAGCAATCTTTTCAAGACAAAGGGTCATAGTCATACCGCTACTACTGTTCTAATAGTTATCGATTCTCATCCGACGAGAACGGAACTACCTTTAGAGTAGAGCTAAATGTGGCGTTTATGCCTTTCGAGTAGACAATTCCTAGCGTCAAGCTAACAAACTAAGATTCGCACACAGGTGTTCGTGAAAAAAGAAAGAAGAGTAAGCGACTCTAAAGAATTCGATTCTTAGAAAGGCGGATTCTCCATAGTTGATAGCTGAATTTCTTCTTTAATCGATTTATCTCCTGGTAATCCCTAAGTAAAAGGATAAGGAAAAGTGAGACTTTAAGACTTTGTCGTGGTGGAAGTTTGTGGAGTAGTTGCTTTAGTTGTTTGGCATGACCAAAGTTTAACCCGTGCTTGGCTCTTTCCTCGTGATGTAACAGTAACTCGAGATAGAATATCTCAAGAGAATAAAACTCTTTGCCTATTTTTAGGCGGTATCATAGAAAGCACTACTTCCGATTTGAATCATCTCATGTAATCAAGTGCATTTCTTTTATTTTGCACCTAAGAGTGATTGGACATGTTAATACGAAATTTTGGCGGACGAATCAATCAACGACACCTGTTTTTTTTATATCCATGTAAGACCCCGTCTTGCCTGAAGAACTCGACGGGCGATCCTTTGTCCCTATCAAGCCCACGGTAAAACCCTCGATAAAACCATGGGCAATTTGATAGGAATCCTCTAGATACATGAACCTGAATTACACGTGTGGTCAACAGGAAAAACATCTTCAATCCATCGGCCTATTACTCAAAGGAAGGAATAATTGTCCAGAAAGTCTTAAATCTATTGCACGACGGTTAATTCAATCCTCGACGTTTCAATTTGACCAATTTAGTCCTAAACCTTTTGACGATATGTCGATTTTGGCAAGAAATCATCCACATTGATGCTCACCATCTTACGTGGAGTGGCTGGTGCTTGCGTGGATAAGTTTTGCAATTTTTTAAAATTTTTCTAATTTTTTTTCTTTTTGTCTTTCCCTTTTCTTTCCTTTTTCTTTGTTCTTTTTTTTTTCTTATTCCCTCTGTTGGTTCGTGGCCTTGGTGATTGCCGGCAGAGGTCGCCAGCCATAGGAATAAGAAAAAAGAAAAAGAAAAAGAAAAGAAAGGACAAGAAGAAAAATGGAAAAAGGGAAAAATTTCAGAAAAATTAAAAAATAGTCCATATAGTACTGGTTGTGCCACGTAGGACGGCCGGCGTCCACATCAGCGGTTTCCTGTCAGAATTGGCCGAAAAGACTACATTGGCAAATCTGTAAAAGGTTTATGACTAAATTGAAAAGTTTAGAATTGAATTGGCCGTCGAAGAATATATTTATGACTTTGTGAACAATTTTACCCTCAAAGTAGACAAGCAAGTTACAAGGGAGGGTGCATTTGAACCAGCCTGGTTGCAATAACCCAACGTATTCAAGATCGCCATAACCCGCATAAGGACAAAAAACTTGCTAGTTCCCTTTGCCGACAAGTAAGTCAGCCTATAATTACACATTTTTAAGCTGCGTTTGGTTGTCTGAATTTCTAGCCAAGATAAGATTGGATAGGATAGGATATGAAATCCAAAAGATTTGTTATAACCTATCTACTATTTGGTGAATCACAGTAATAAAGCCAGATATTTTTACATATTACTATATTTATTATTTGTTATGAACGTCATATCAGTGTAAATGAACCTAAAAATTGCACAAATTGACATGATAAAAATTTCTCACCACACTCTTACCTACTTCTTTTTTATTTGCTCATTTTTTTATTATTTTTCCCTCTCTTTTTTAATTCTTTTTTCCACTTCCATCATTCTCTAATAAAAATTTATCAAATAGTAAACTATAGTAATATACCTAAAATATGTAGTAAATATAAATACTAAATTTATATATATATGAAATTTATATCATAAGAAAGAAAAAAAATCGAATATATAAATACAAATAAGAATAAATAAAAACGAAATTGTTGTTATTTTTTTGTTATTTTGAATTTTTATATTAAATTTCAAATATTATTGATATTCATAGATTATTTTAATTTTATCAGTTTAACAAGTTTGTTATTTGAGAAAAATAACTTTGATGTGAATATTAGAAATCCTATCCACCTTTATCTCACCTCCTCCATGGGATAATTTTATCCGGGCTATATCTTTCCTATATCCGACTTTATCCTGTCTTGAGTAGGCGCCAAACACGGGATATGATAAATTTTATTCTATCCTGAATTTTATCCCGACTACCAAACGTAGCCTTAAGAGTCCATGTACACTGCTTTGTCACCTATTCAATTCGAGCTCTATCACTATTTCCTCACGCTCACTTACTGACTTAACTATTGGAGGGCCGATACGAGTTGCGAATCCGGATGCCCTAAACATTAGTAACTATGAGCATGGGTCGGATTCAACTTTGTGGATCTTGTCCCAACAGGAGAGGCAAGTTAGACTTCTATGCATGGTTTAGGTGGAAGAGATATTGGGACCGTTTGTGCCATTTTTTCCGAAAAATCGCGGGCAAATGGTTCCGATTCAAGTCAGACTATTAAACCACTAGGGGTTTACCCCAGTGGCCACCCTTCTCACTTGAGAAGGGGGAGATGGGGAGTTCGAATCCCCACCTTCGCAGGGGGTAGGGGTGGGGCCGCGTAGTTTAAGATGTGGGTTTCGACGCCCACGCCCTGCAAGAGGTAGGGCGCAAGTCTGAGTGTGTATCGTGAGTGAGAGATAGAGTAGGACCGATAAAAAAAAAAACAGACTATTTGACTTTTGAGTGGATTTTGCTTTGGCTGCGAACGACTGCTGGGAGGGCAGAGAATTGCGACTTTTACTTCCTTCTCCAATAAATGAGGAGGGGTCTGCGTCAACGAGGACGTGAATGGATTGGCCTTTCCAACCACACTATTTCCCAATCGAAACAGTAACATATATTAAAGACATATGATCTTATAATTGCTCGCTGGACAATTGAATACTCGAGAACTGCGAATCGCTTCGAGAAAGTATACACTTCTTGTACGGTACGTGTTGCCGATGACTTGCTACCGCAAAATTGAATCACATTCCGACTTCGAGGATGTAATTCGAAAAGTGGGTTTGGTCTTGCTCTCTCTCAAACTTTCCTAAGCTACCCCGGATATTGTTATAGCTCTCTATTTCTTCCATATTCTTATGTGATACGATAAGTGATATTGTAGTGACTCGTAAAAGATGTTATGATAGGATATTTTTATGATTTCATAATAAGGGCGCGAGGCACAGATTAGTATGCCTACTTAAATGTGATTAAACTCATGCTAATAGAGGCCAGTTGTTTCTGGAAAAAAGGTAAAATTGGAGATCAATGTGCTTTTAATCCTCCCATGTGAGCCTACCCTGCTGGTCACAGGCCCAGTCCAACATGCTCTAAAACTCTCCAGAATTTTTGGCCCAGGCCAACTCTCACTTCTCGATATTCGATTAGATTTTTTTTATGGAAAAATGACACATTGTACATGAACTTTGGTTATATATGTAATGTGGTCCATGAAATTTTAATTTTTTTTAATGAGACCCCTAAATTTTTTGGTACATGTTCAATTTAGGACTTGAATTATATGAAAATATTCAATGTTGTCCCGAACATTGAACATTTTCATATAATTCATGGTCTAAATTGAATATCTACTAAAAATTCATTGACCATATTGAACAAATTAAAAGTTTTGGGGCCATATTGCACATCTGGCCAAAGTTCGAAGACCACATTAATCAAATTAAAAGTTCATAGACCATATTATACGTTTGACCGAAGTTCGGGAACCATTTGTGTGATTACCCCATTTTTTTTTCATAGCCTCGATGCCCTACCTAATGGGGCAAATTATACTATAATGGAGAAATTAAAATACGAGTTAATTAATTCTAAAAAAAATATATCCAAACTGATAAATGATAAATTATAAAAGCTGAATTTACGAGATATTTCTACAGTTATATAG